TGTGTGTGTGTGTGTGTGTGTGTGTGTGTGTGTGTGTGTGTGTGTGTATGTATACGCAACAAAACTATAAATATAATGTTCCTATCAAAGAAAAAATATTTTGAGTTCAACAACATAGTATTTATTATGATAGTTGTGCTCCAATTTTTTCCATCGAGTTTTACGAAAATGAAAATAATTTACAATTAGTGAGTGTTCACCGATATTAAATCCACTTGTTTCGAAAAAAAACTTCAGTTTGGGTTAGTGATGGAGCAAGAGTATTTTTTTTAAACTTAAATTTTTATAGTTTTTATTCATTCAAATACGTCAACTAATCAAATTCAGTCAGCCAATCAATGGTGTTTTATTAAAATATATTCATAAAGGACTGTATGAATTTTTAAATCGTTAAGTTAAAATAATTGATTATTATAAAAATCCGTAAACTAAACTATTTCTTATGTCCGTTGTTCGTGTAAGTAAAATATTTATTAGCCGAATTAGTACGAATTATTTGCTTCTAAGTCTTGTAATAGGTATCTAACATGCACTTAAAAAATATACGATTGAGCAATGTGACGAAATTACGTCACGTATACTTAAGTAGAATAGTTATGAACATTAAATGATGTCTTTGCGCTTTTCAATTTACAAACTCATTAATCATATTATGATTAGTTACATCCGAATATTAATTACAATAATCATTTTCTTCGGCACTACAATGCACTCAAAATAGTATACGGGCAATAAAATATTGATTTTTAATGAACATATTTAGTAAAAAGGCCTAAATTGTCATATCATCCTAATAATAAACGAAATCAATTAACAACTAATAAAAAATGTATTTTCGCTATCTATAAACTGTGCATCATGAAGATCACATTAATACACATTATGAATTAATATATCCATGCACATGTCAATTTAGTTTTTTATGTAACCGTGTAATACTAATGAACATAAATATTTACATAATATATATAAATAAATGTTGAGGATTAATTTGTAATACATATATTTGGTCTCACCGATAATAAAGTCGACACTGATAAGTCGTTCATGGTTAGTGAAATATGCATCAATAACAATTACGTATATAATAAACTCAATTAGTTAACATCTTATTCTAAAATAGTCAAAATATTTTTTACATAGCGTACAATATTTTGAAAATCCTGCATTAAGCCTCACCAAGAAAACTTAAAATTATTTTTATATCTTAAATAAATAAAAAAAAAAGCTGCACCATAAACCTTTCCTCAATATATACTGAATCAAATAATTAACTTAAATTCAACAGAATTAAATAAAACAACATTTTGTTTTTACAATATAGACCTCATATTCTTTTTACTTCAAAGTAAACTTATTCTCACACGTAAAAATTTTTACCGATTCTTCCGAATTAAGTTCATATAGAACCGCCATGTCAACGATTTCAGATAATAAAAAAACATCAATTCTAATTTCTTTTTCTAAGAATAATGATACCGTTGGGTTTGTAAGCACCTAAATTGATTCTCAAATATGAGAAAACAATCGAAAATCATTCATTCTAATTCGTTAATTGCATTGTTTAATGTACGCAATGATAATAGACATTACTATTATTATTTTACGTATTAAGTACCGTAGAACTTCGTTTAATTGGAATCGATTTCTAGACACAAATAATAGTTGCAGAAATATTTATTTACCCAAACACTATGAACAACCTACTCCGATATAATTTTCACGAAACTTTTATTCATACGTACAAGTGCTTTTCGCTTATGGGGATCAAGATTTTTTTCTTGTCATATAAAATTATCATTAATCGACTCTAACTCAATCATACTAATTACACTAAATACATAATAATAAGAGATAAGAGGTGACTCCCGTCACGCTTAAACACGTTTAAAATTTTAATGAGTCAAATATGAAATCTACAATCTTACGAATTACTTATATTTTACTATCGTTGTGTCCGACTTCTAGCGGCCGACCAGGAAATCCCTTTTATTCTCATCAAATTTCACTATTCATCTGATCTACGCTATAATACTTAATCAAACACTATCAATAATTTTATCAGTTATGATAAATATTTATATTTAATTTCATTGTGCGATCATGTATTATTAGTTATAAGATATGATTTTGAAGACTGACTTTTACATTTTTTTTTTTTTAATATTCTTAATCAATGTTTTTCTGGCTTAAATCATGTTTCGATAACATACGAGATTAAATAACAAAATTGTATTTTGTAATTATGAAATTTGTTTGGGTTCATGAAGGCATCAATATTCGAGTCCTAATTTCTATATATTAAGCTGTAGTGCTAGATCTAGATAACGTTATAACTCTATTGTTGGTTTGTATGCATCAATTAAAAAAAACGATGCATGATGGCATCACGCAGACATCTACCGGGCGCCGCTTAATTGTATGAAGTTAAGAATAATTAGTGTTCATTTATAGTTATGAATTTTTAATTTGATATAGACGAATTAATTACTACAAGCCAATATTTTAAGTATTGGATATGGGTTTATATTGCTTTTTATTTTGATAAAAGGCTTTCTTATCAAATTTAAAATAATGTATATTCAATCTAACTATGTAACCTTGTAGCACTATACATTTTGCATATTATTGATAAAAAAAAGAAGCTATTTGGCATTAATTACTATGATAAAAAATAGATAAATAATAATAATAATAATTTAGCAGACTTTTAAAGAAAAGAATACAGAACTTTGTTTTTTCGAGAGGTTTTGTTATTGAGAATAAAGTATTTTAGTATTAAGGAGCAATTTTTACAAATTTTTGGATAATTAATTGTGTTTATCGTTTTTTACTTAAAGTATTGTAAATTATAACAATTTATTTAACATTTATTTTTTTATTTTTTTTATTTTTATTTTTAAATCGCTATAAGCACTAAATACGATATTACCATAAAAATTATGTTAATATTTATATTATAAATTTGAATGGATCGATAAAAATGTAATTGCTTTTTGATTCCAAATTTTAGAACTTAAACATTACAATATTTATATCGATAATTTAAGAAAAAATTGTTCACTATCATGATTATTTGCTGTTAGTAAATATGTTTAACGTTCACTGTATCTATGTTCTATGCTAGTATTTATTACTAAAAAGTGTCAGCTTTCGGAAGATGTCCATAAATAGGAGTTTCACTGTGTTTACCTTAGCGATACTCTTAAGAATAATATAATTGGAATGGTAGATTACAGAATATGTAGTCTTATAAAAAAAAATTAAAAACGTTAAAACTAACAAGTACGAAATTTTTATAATTTTCCGTTTCATATAGTTTATATGTCGTTTATTTTAATTATTAGAGTATTTATACTTGAATATTATATGTAATCAAAGCCTTTTATCTGAACAATTTATAGTGAATTCATCAATCTAACACCAGCAATTTATTAAGTAAAATTAATCGCCCACCATAACACTCATGTATCAGTTAAATGAACCGGTATTATGAACCACATATTATGATAATATTAAGATTGATTAGGTTCCCGTTTTTATCGTACTGTTATTTTATAATCTATTTCGTAAATTCTTGGTGAAATTTTTATGTACGCTATGGCAAATTAAAATATAATAACAATATGCGTAGTTGTAACACGTTGTATACATATGTATCTATATCGTAGAGAAAAATGTACACATTTATTGGAATTGTATTTGATTTAGCAAGATTTAAAACTAGTCAGAGTTTTAAATGTAAACACCGTAAAAAAAATATTAAAATATGCATACGCACATATACAGCCGGCTTATCTTAAATCACGACACTTATTGCCCGGCCGTTATATCGAGTCATAAAATAATGATTGAAAAACCTTGCGCATATTTTTTTTAATAGTATAAGGTCATTGTCTTGGACCTAACTCACAACAGGTACATAAAATAAACCATATAAGTAGTAAACGGTCGAAATGAACAGTGTTTAAATTATAAAATACCGTACAAGGAGTGTGTATGACCAATACCAATTTGAAGTAATTTCACAACACATTTATACAGATGGAAATATTTACATGTACGCACACTAATAAATTAATTTTAACGTGCATCTTGTCA